TCTCTTCATTCACTCTCACAGTATTTCTCAGTATTACATCAGCCTAGTTCACGTTTGACCTGAAATATGCCATGTATATGAAAAACAACCTTAAAGTTCTTTATTTTTTGAAATTTAAAAAGAAGAATAAATAAAACTATCTGTTGTAGAAAAGGCAACAATTAAGTGGTTGTATTATGCAGCTACATTAATATCTTCAGCCCAAAGTCTCCAATCATCCTTCATCATTAACACAAGATTCACTACCTAAAAAAAGCAAAACTCATGAAAATAAATAGATAAAACAACCCTTCTCCTTTTATTAACCAGAATGCCAAGTCTTTTTTCTGTCTTCAGACACTATTCCCAGAACCTTTACATCGTCTGAAGGATCTGCAAGGACAGTGCTCTGATTTCCATATCTTATACTGGTGACAAATATTCTCAGTGATATCTGCTTTGGTTTATCTCCTCTGAACAAGTACTGAATACCCACAGGAACCTTAAGACTGAATCTTAAGGTCTCACTTGCTGGAGACATACTTTGAGGGCTCTATTTCCATAATCACTAATTCATTAATTCATTCTGCCCAACTAAGTGAATATTTACATTTCTTACGGAAACCCAAGGGGTTAGACCAGGTTCATTAGGACATATTAAAAAAATTCATTTCTCCCGAGTCTAAAATAGCTCAAAGACACTCCAAAGGATGAATGGAGTGTCTTTAGAAATTGGGTATGTCTCAGTTTCTTTCAAGTGAGAATTCAGTTCATTTAAATCCCGTCAGAAGCACAAGCAACTGTTGGTGAAAAGGGTGGAAGGCAGCACAGCCTTTTCCTTTGTATCTTGTTTTATCTTCTATTGTCTTGCATTTGTTTAAGAAAAAAAATCAAACTGCTACTACAAGAGGAAGAAATTCACTTCTTAAAAACCATTTTCTAATTTTATATTTTACAAAAAAAAAAAAAAAAAATCAAAATAAGTGGCAAAAAATCCAGAAAAATTAATTTGTAATTGTAATTTTGTTTTGATCAACCAGTCCTCTCTTCCAACTTATTTCCAGAGAAGGAATGAAATATGTCAAAACAGACCAGCACTTATAAGAAAAATGTGCTTCTACAAATGCTGTATGCTCATATTAGAATGAGTATCCAAATTATACACAACACTTCTAAAACCAAGTAGAGGCCAATCAAATGCGCCTGAAAGATATTAAATTTCTCTTTGATCAAGGTACATTGACTACCTAATTACACAGAAAAATTATTGCTGTCTAATGGAGGAAAAAAGGAAAAAAAATAATCTAGGTTCCCAATTAAACGTTTCTCTTGGGATTCAAGAAAGCAGTTATGTCAGTTTTCTCTGAGAGTTCTACACCATGCTGTGATTCCTTACTTGAGCAGCTGAAAATGGTTCCAACAAAACCCAGCAGCACAGTTCTTCACCTATTGTCATTTTGAACCAGCCTGTGAAAGTCTGATAAACTTCCCAGAAGCACTTTGTATGGGGATTGAATTTCACAAGGCAAGAATTCTTTATGAACTTTCTTAAGAACTGCTAGGCACATGTTGGATTTCAGAGCTTCTGACCAGCTCTTCAATTAGTAGGCATGCATCCTGACCAGAAAGCTGAAACAGTATCTGCTGCATGGCCCTAAGGCTACATACACTCTTACCTAGTACAAAGGAAGAAAAAAATACATATATATCAAAAGACATAATACTTTCAAAAGATGCCTTAATGGACGATTAGTTCCTCTTTACAACTTTTGGTTACAAATTCTGTAAGGAGGAATAAATATTCTTTTCCATGTATTCTTTATCCCTTGAACAGGCAAAATAACACAAGAAAAAATCCATAGGATGTAGTAGTAATGCGAAATAACTTCAGCTTAACATTAATTAAGTTTAATGGCTTGATACCCATTCTCCAATAACAGCTGTAAGATACTAACACAATACGTTGTGTTGGCTGGTGTGTTCTACACAGTTACCAGTAAGAAAAGAAAAGAAAGCACAGTTGCATAAATGACAGAAAGAATTTCATACTGATTATAACAAGGCATGAATCTTCTCTCTGAGGGCAAGCCATTTGTGTCCTGTACTGGACAATTAATGTCATCAAAGAAAGTAGAATTAATAGCTCTCATTAAAAGCATCTGGAGAATTTCAGAGCTACAATAACTGTGATCAACCCACAATGCTGAAGTAAAGTCAAGGTTACATCCTTTACTCCTGCCTTCAACTTTTGCTGTAATAGCTTTTGTTTACTAAATTACAAAGTCACTGTGTCACACATAGAATCACAGAATGGCTTAGATTGGAGGGGACCTCAAGGATCAAGTTCCAACCCCTGGCCACAGGCAGGGTTACCAAATACTAGATCATGGACTAGATCAGGCTGTGCAGGGCACCATCCAACCTGCCCTTGAGCACCTCCATGGATGGGGCACCTGCAGACACTCTGGGCAACCTGCGCCAGCACCTCACCACCTTCTCAGTGGAAAACTGCTCCTTGAAATCTCATCTGCATCTTCCCTTTAGTTTAAAACCATTCCCCCTTGTCCTATCTCTATCTACCAATGTAACAAGTTGATTTCCCTCCTGTTTATAAACTCCCTTTAAATATTGGAAAGCTATAATCAGGTCTCCATGCAGCCTTCTGCAGACTGAACAAGTTCAGCTCCTCTAGCCTGTCTTCATAGAAAGAGGTGCTGCAGCCCTAAGACAGTTAAAGAAAAACCTTAAAACTATCATCCTTATGAAAGATAATCACAAGCAGCATATTTACTGTGTTAGAATACTGATTATCTGGAATTATCTTACAATCACAGAAAAGAACGTCCTGAGTTGGAACAGACCCTCAAAGATCAAGTCTGACTCCTGCCTTCACAAAGGACCACCCAAAATTCAAACCTTGTAAGTGAAACCACTGTCCAAACACTTCTTGAGCCCTGCCAGGTCAGGGCCGTGCCCATTGCCCTGGGCAGCCTGTTCCATGCTCATTGCCCTCTGGGGCAGAACGCTTTCCTCACACCCAGACTGACCATCCTCGGTGCAGCTCCATGCTGTTCCCTCAGCACACGTGATCTCAAAGAGCTCTAACTAATGAGATTTGTTAATTTTTAAAAATGGCAACAACAGTCAGCACGTAAAAACTTCAGAGAACACTTAACCATTGCAATCAAAATAGCTGTCCTACCTTTTGCAGTCACAGTCAGAGCCTCTTGACCAGCAGAATTTATGCAGGGCTCAAAGTTTTAAGGGGAAGACTCGCACACAGCGCTTTTGGAGAGATCCTGCATCAAGAAGTGGAGGAGCACCAGCTCAGATCTTCCATGTCTGAAAACAGATTAACAGAACCTGCATCATCTTTGCCACAAGATTTTGTAAACCTCTTGCCAGGAGCGAAGGTTAATTTTTATACACCTCAGCAGTGCAAACTTGTCATGAATACATGAGACTACTGCTAAGTTGTAAAAAAAGACTCATGAGAAACCTGAGAGAGCTAAGCAAGGCAGAAAGGTAAAACTACAGGGAGAGGTGAGACTGCTCTGACCGTGACAGCTAGCACCTCCTGAATTCAGGAGGCAAAACAACAGTATGAGAAGGTGTAAAACCGCATGGGGGGAAAAAACATCAAGCTGGAAGACAGCAACTCACTAACTGTGAGATTAAGCACGCATTTCAAGTACAGCAGTGAGAAAAAAACATAACTTACCTTCCTATATACGTGAAGATACATAAATGAGTCAGCTGAAAGAGACGGCTGCAACAGTCTCATACCCTGAATATTTCCTTTCTATACCTGGGAGAAAAGATTAAGCTATATCAAACATTCTGGAAATAAAGTTTCTGGCGTTGAATTGCCAAGAGAGTACTAGCTTTGATTTAATATAACAAAATCCAGCGACCTTATTTAAAAGAGTAGGACTTGAGCTTAACAAACATTAGAGCAAGAAATCAAATATTCTTCTATTTTCTTTAATTATTTAAAATTGTCATTTCGCAATGCACTGTTTTAGAAAATTCAAAGTTATTCTTCATTCTATTGAAAACAACTGTCACCCTAGTAGAAGAATTTGAATGTTGGTATATTATTAAAAAACTAAGAGACAGGAGCATTTCCTATAAAACTATTCACCACCAAAATTCCAAAAGGCATCTTAAATCTACCCTTTGTATGCCTATTAATTCTTTCATGGTAACATAAAACAATTTAAGCACTTCACAAATGGGAAAGCACCTAAGAGACTGGAAATACAGCCTTGTGAAATTTCCAGAAGTAGCTGCAAAACAGGTGATGCGTCTACTAGAGAATCTTGTGGGAGAAGAAGATTGAGCATTGGATACTGAGTACAAGTTGTGCCTTAAGCTTGTTTCTCAAGGTGATTAAAAACCAGTCAGTTTATTTACACTGATCAAGCACCCTTCAATGACACTTCACCAAAACTGCAAAAACAAACAAACAAAAAAACCCACATGAAATTACCTCCTCTAGACCAAATATTACTGGACATGACATAGTATCAATGGTATAAAATGGTATGAGCGTTTCAAACAGTATTTCTCAATAATGTAAAGTAAACATCTGTATATAATATACAAAACATTGGAGAAAAACTCAAATATGATGCACCAGCAAAGGAGCAGTGATGAAATATTCTTTCTAGATCTCCTACCCCTACAAGGGTACAGTATCATTTTCCATTTACAGGCAGAACAAATCATGACCAACAAATAAGTTTTAGGTGCAACTTTGCAAAGATCAAGCCTTCTCATCTTATTTAGTATCTATAACTATTTTAATCTCATTTTATATATATATATGTATATATATATATATACATATATATATACACACTAAAATATATTTAAGTATTAATCATTAGTGTATATATAATAATATATGCAGTAGCATGAAAGAAGTGCTCTACTGTGCAGTGTCTGAGCACTGGACGACATTGCTCACAAAGGCTGTAAAGTCTTATCCTTGGAGATTTTCAAAATCTCCTAGACATCTCCTCTAAATGCCCTTGCTTGAATAGAGGGATCCAGTGACCTCCAGAAGTCCCTGCCAACATCAGTCATTCTGAAATGCCAAAATGGAATTCAACATCCTCGCATGAACACAGGAAATCTTTGTAGTTCATTAAGTTCAACCACAACCCTTAATTTCTTTACCCAGAAAATGGAAGCTATATTGATGTGTTTCTCATCGGCTAGCAGGAAAGGGGAGAAAGGAAGAAGCGCAAGAAACTTCCTCATTAATTCACAAATACAAGCAAGGAACAGCTGAAGCATGTATCCACAACAAAGTTCACCTCTTCATATGAAACTACCCTCTCCTCCCTCACTATTTCTCAGGTTAGAGTTATCACACTCCCTAAGCTCCAAGGCTCTCATTAAGGTGCACAACACGATGCTGACTTGCCCAGGCAACCACCTGTCCTGTGCAAAGCTGCACAGAGCCCATGTAAGAAATGGTTTATGCTCACCTAACAAACATACATGTGCATTATCTTCCATCTGTTATCACCACAAACAAGCAGCAATAAATGCTGAAAGAAAATTAAGTGGATGCTTCTAACAGCTTTCCTTACTGTTTATCTAACAAAAATGCAAACTTGAGCTCCCTGGATTTAATGCCAGATCCTGGGGAAGAATCACTCCTCCTTCTTGTCATGCTTCTCCTCCTTGCTGCCCGCTTGCTCCAGACCAACAACCACAAAGAATTTCCATATCTCCACTAGCCAACACTCAAGGCAATAGGCCTGTTTTGGGAAAAGCAAGGACCACATCACAGGGAATGGAGAGGAAAAAACATTTTCTTTAAAAAAAAAAGTTTTAGCTTTAGGGTTTGATGAGAGCACGAGCTCAGTTTTAGCATTTAATTTACATTGTGACTACCAGAATTAAGGAACAAGCTAGAGTCATCCTAAATTAACTTGGTCACTCAGGAATTATCATTGCAGTATGGGCCTTGTAATTGGCCACAAGTTGCTTAGTTTATCATGAGAAGCAAAGTAGCCGAAGTGCCGTTTAAACTCGAGTGTTGCACTACCATAAACCCCGTGACAGGTTTATGAATGATGCTCACTCTACTGTTTGGAGATCAAGCAATCAGCAGCACATTAGATTAGTCTTAGGTTAAACCTAAGACTGTTGGTCCTCCAGCTAATAGAGAATGCTTGTTGATTATGCTTGTGAATAGGTCAAATGTTTAGCTCTATTTCAGTTAAAATATGACAATTAAAATCTGTAGAGCAACGCATCCTTTTTTCTTCACAGAACGGTCTAATCTATAACAGGCTTCAGGAAACAAAACCACAACTTTATAAATTATTGATATTCAACCAGTGGCTCTCCAATTTTAATGTAGCTTACTTCCCTGTCTTGTCAATAAATCCAGCAGAAGGTTACACATACTGAAGTTTGAGTTGTGTCGAAAACAAAGCTGCAGCCTGCTTCCCAGGATGTGTTTACATGCATTATTATTGTTTAATCTTCTTTCTAATTTCCCAAGCAATGCATTTTCCCTCCTCTGTCATTTATTTTGAATGCATCATGTTCACAAATGCTGATTACTTTTCTGCTAGGGATTTTCGCCATCTGTGCTAACACAGTTGTGAAAGAGTTGTATACAATAGGAAGAAGAGATAATAGTCGTTAACATGAAACAACAGTAAGAGACCCAAATTTGTAAGCTCCAACTTTGCCTATAGTTTATGATTAATGTAAACGAGCGCTTACTGAAAGCTGATTATGTGCTTCATTTTGTGTCAAGCCTGAGGGGCTGAGGCTTAGAAGACTAAAATCCCTCAAATTCCACCCAATTTAATGTCTCTCTCAAATTAACTTGGTTCAATCACTGAGTCAGCACAACTTATGCAATAAAAGTCATTAGAACAGACTTTCTTCTGCCTTGCTAAGGAAAGTATCAATTGATGATCAGAGCTGATGAAACAGCACAAGACAGCACAGCATCCCCTGAAAATTACATTTACTTTGAGCTCAAAATTAATGATTTTTAAAGCATTACTTGAACTCTAAGCTTAGCTTTGAGTTTAGACAAAGGCCGTATTTCAGTTCTCTAGCTGGGTATACAGGACAACCACAAAATTGTGAGAGCTGGGATCATTAACGCTATGGGAGTTGGGGTGCACAACCTGGAGCTGCAGCGGATAGAGAAAGAGAGGACTTCCCCAAGCCCACGCAGCCCTTCACCAGCCTCTAAGCTCCCCTCACCACATCACTTTCACTTATGTGATTTTTTTTACCTGACCTTCACACACTCTTAGACACGAATCGACTGATCTTGACTAACTTTTGTACGTATGTTTTGCAACTTACTCTCAGTGCCTCCCCGTGCCAAATGAATAGAATCAAGAGAACTCATTAAAATATAAACCATGCAGTTAGAAGCAACAAAGGAAGAACACGATAAAAATAAAACAAAACACTACAAAACAGAAATATCCACTACCAACTCATCCCTCTCTTACCCCACAAAAAACACAGCCTGCAGCAGCTTTAAAGAAAGTCCTCATTCAAAGAAAGAAAAGATACCTCTACATTAATGGCAACCAGTTTGGGTATTATTTGACATTTCCAAAGAAGAGTATTGAAGATGCCTATAGTGTTTTCAAGAATATTATTTGGAATCATCAGGAAAGTGGACATCATCGCTTCCCTTCATCTCCTAAGCTAAAGACTTTGATTACTCGAACTTTAAAACAGACAGAGGATACAAGAAACACTAGGCTCAATGAGTACTGGCAGTATTTCTGTAACTCCCCATTGTGCATCTCAGAAAGAAGCCAGACCACACCTTGTAGCAATTGAATTCCTTTTTGTTGTTGCTCTTTTAAGAAATAGCTGCCAATTGTTTCTTACACCACTGTTCATTAGTTCTTATGGCCTTCTTGGCATTCATGTCTTCTGTTCTGCTCCTCCTACCTCTCAAGCACACTCAGACTGCTGCATCCACCTCATTTCTATGCAGTTGTTCCCAGCTTCCAAAGACAGAGCGTCAGCTGCTGCAAGTCAGCAACACAATTGACTTTTTTCTTCTGTCTAAAAAAATCAAATTACCAACAGCTTGCAAAGTAGCCTATGAAGGCAAATATTATAGTGCCCTTTACACAAACAATCAATATTATTGAATCTAAGTTGTTCTATTTTGGAACAAAATAAAGTTCCAGGGTGCATAATAGTCGAGGGCAAGAAAAGGAAGAATAAACCAGCTACTTTACCCTTCCTTTATTTTTTCTCAATAGCTGCCTCAAGGTTTTCATTGAATTATCAGCAAGCGGACATTCATGGCAAATAAATTACCAGATTAAAGTGGTTTAAACAGTCAATGCCACAACTGGAGAAAAACTGTTAAACAACATCCAGCTTTGCGTTCTCATTGCTACGAAGGGTGTGAGCTCACAGGTTTTCTAAGATACACCTAAGGAAGACCTGATACAGGAGAGAGTTTGTATGAAGAGGCACACTGAGGCAACTATCCGTAAATAGTGGTCATCTCTCCATGCCTCATTCCCAGTCTTTCAGTTCCCTTTGCTGAGCTGGTTTCTGACCTTATGTGCTCACTGCAATATGCTAGAACAAGATAAGAAGTAGACAGTTGCTAGCTTGTGCAGTGAAAGGCTGGGCACAAGAAGAATGCTCTGAAAAAGTGCAGTCAGCTGCTTTGTCTGACACCTGAAACTGTACCCCTGTGATAACAAATAAGTTCGGTTGCTGTTGCTGTCTGGAACTTTTTTGAAAGAAGTAATCAAGTATGCTACTTCATTTAGTTCCTATTCATTTATCTACAATATCCTACTAATAACGACCTTGTGACTGGCAACCACACAATAGCTCTGTATTTCTGTAATTTATTCTAATACTTTTTTTTTTTTTTTTAATTTATTCCAATATTTGATGGAAGATAAGAGTACTTTTGAAATGTCTATCCTAGAGAAAAAATTAATAACCCTAAAAAATGTCCCTTTTCTGATCCTTTGAAAAGTGACAGGCTATAATCCCGACATAAAGGATCTAAATTAGAGCTAAAATAAAGCCTTAAAATTATTTAATCATTAGGGTATTTAATATAATTATTTTCCAATGGCAAAAATAATCAGAACACTCTGAATTATCTGTATAAAATAAGTAATAAAGTAGCACACGGCAGTCTCAGTAGTGCAGCAACTAAATTTAGAAATGACATTAAAATGCAGATTCCCCTTTCAAATCCCATCCCTCTATGCCTTAAACCAAATCAGTTCATTAGTCTCGTCTGTTTCTATCTAAATAGGTAGGTTGTTCTGAAAGTAATGCCTCACATTTATATACATAGGAACTACAACTGACACAAAGAGCACAGTAACACTGTTTGACGGAGCAAATTCTCACCTACAAAACACATTTTTCAACACAGCTACCACCATTAGTTGTGCTTTTCACCAGCAATGAACAAGAGCCTGCGTGCTGCGCTTTGTAAGACCGCATCAGCAGAGGTGACCCAGTGCAGCCACTGCTGACATGCACCACCCACCACCTCTCTGTGTTTGCAGAAAATAGGAGGCAGCATTTTTGGAGAAGCCTTCATAAAATGGACATGATAGGTTCACTATAAGAGAAGTTCCATGTGCAGTATTTCTTGCCCTATTTCTTGCTTTCAGATGCAACATTTTATAATTCACTCCACTACGTTCCGCTCACAATTACGCAATCCTTTTTAACGCCTCATCGGCACTCTGAGCAAATCATAACCACCCATTTTATACATAAATTCCCAGATTTTCCTATTTTTAGAAAAATCAACAGCTATAACTTTCTGTTACAATACTAAAAATGTCCATGTTACTGCAGTTTTAGATAATGCTTTACAGTTCCTGGTAAATGTTAGCTTTGCAGAATATGCAAACACTCCTCTACTTCCTGTCAATAGAAAACTATGGCACCGAAATCAATTTATGTTCTACTTTGTAGATCTTATTTTATCTGAAACATACTTTTGAATCAATTCAGATTTTTATCTTTTATTTTTTTAGAAGAAATTAATTCTATCAGTTGCATCGTATGGAGAAAAGGAGTTCT